TGGAATGGGGACCCTGCACGGGACGGGCCCAGCGGCCGCAGGGAGAGGAGGCCGTGAGCACCAGAGTGGGATCGGGATCGGGATTGGGATTGGGATTGGGATTGGGAATGGAATTGGGATTGGGAATGGAATGGGGACCCTGCACGGGACGGGCCCAGCGGCCGCAGGGAGAGGAGGCCGTGAGCACCAGAGTGGGATCGGGATCGGGATTGGGATTGGGATTGGGATTGGGAATGGAATTGGGATTGGGAATGGAATGGGGACCCTGCACGGGACGGGCCCAGCGGCCGCAGGGAGAGGAGGCCGTGAGCACCGGAGTGGGATTGGGATTGGGATTGGGATTGGGATTGGGATTGGGATTGGGATGGGGACCCCGCGCGGGACGGGCCCAGCGGCCGCAGGGAGAGGAGGCCGTGAGCACCGGGAGTGGGATCGGGATGGGAATGGGGTTGGAATGGGATTGGGATTGGGAATGGGATTGGGAATGGGATTGGAATGGGGACCCTGCACGGGACGGGCCCAGCGGCCGCAGGGAAAGGAGGCCGTGAGCACTGGAGTGGGATCAGGATTGGGATGGGAATGGGATTGGGAATGGGATTGGAATGGGGACCCTGCACGGGACGGGCCCAGCGGCCGCAGGGAGAGGAGGCCGTGAGCACCAGAGTGGGATCGGGATCGGGATTGGGATTGGGATTGGGGTTGGGTGGGACTGGAATGGGAGTGGGAATGGGATTGGGAATGGAAATTGAAATGGGATTGGGAATGGGAATGGGATTGGGAATGGAAATGGAGAAGGGATTGGGTAAGGCTAGGAATGGAAATGGGATTGGGATTGGGGTTGAATTGGAAATGGGATTTGGAATGGGATCAGGAATGGGGTTGGGGTGAGGATGATGATGAGGATGAGGATAGGGGTGAGACATCCATGATGAGAAGTGAAGTGAGGATGAAGACATCACGGGGGGGTGACACACCTCAGGGACACACCTGGGGACACACCTGGGGGACGCACAAGTTGGGGTCACGGGGGGGTGACACACCTCAGGGACACACCTGGGGACACACCTGGGGGACACACCTGGAGGGGACACACCTCAGGGACACACCTTGGGGACACACCTGAGGGGGACACCTCGGGGACACACCTGGGGAGGACACACTTGGGGACACACCTTGGGGGGGACACACCTGGGGGACACACCTTGGGGACACACCTGGAGGGGACACACCTCGGGGACACACCTTGGGGACACACCCTGGGGACACGCCTGGGTGTGGCAGTGGTGGGAACGTGGGAATGGGGGTGAGGGGGATGTGGAGAGGTTGGGGTGGGGGACGATGAGGATTTGGGGACAGTGGGGACATTGGGGACATTGGGACACAGAGCTGGGGATGATGGGGACATGGGAATGGAGATGGTGGGAACATGGGGATGGTGGCACTGGGGACATGGACATGGGGGTGGTGGCCCTGCTGCCACAGGGCTGGTGGCATTGATGCCACAGGGATGATGACACTGGGGGAACTGGGGCTGGTGACACTGGTGGCCATGGGGCTGGTGGCTGTGGTGGCACAGGGTTGGTGACACTGGGCAAACCAGGGCTGGTGACACTGGTGGCCATGGGGCTGGTGGCACCGGTGCCACAGGGTTGGTGACACTGGTGGCCATGGGGCTGCTGGCCGTGGTGGCACTGGTGCCACAGGGATGATGGCACTGGGGGAACCGGGGCTGGTGACACTGGTGGCACTGGTGACACCGGTGTCCCCGTGTCCCCGCAGAAGTTCGAGGCTGAGCTCTACAAGCTGGCCATGCCGTGCCTCTGCGCCATCGCCGGCGCGCTCCCGCCTGACTACGTGGACGCCAGCTACTCGTCCCGCACCGAGAAGAAGGCCTCGGTGGATGCCGAGGGCAACTTCGACCCCAAACCCGTGGAGACCCTCAAGTAGGGCTCTCGCAGACCCCCCCCGTGCCAGCATGAGCCCCCCACCCTGTCTGTGCTCGTGGAGAGCCCCCACCTCACCCAGATCCTCATGGAGAGCCCCCAACCCCGTCTGTGCTCATGGAGAACCCCCAGCCCCACCCAGCTCCTCATGGAGAGCCCCAACCTCACCCAGCTCCTCATGGAGACCCCCAACCCCATCCAGATCCTCACAGAGAGCCCCCACCTCACCCAGATCCTCATGGAGAGCCCCCAACCCCGTCTGTGCTCATGGAGAACCCCCAGCCCCACCCAGCTCCTCCTGGAGAGCCCCAACCTCACCCAGATCCTCATGGAGAGCCTGTCCCCCCCAATCTCCTCTGTCCCCCCCAATCTCCTCTGTCCCCCCCAATCTCCTCTGTCCCCCCCAATCTCCTCTGTCCCCCCCAATCTCCTCTGTCCCCCCCAATCTCCTCTGTCCCCCCCAATCTCCTCTGTCCCCCCCAATCTCCTCTGTCCCCCCCAATCTCCTCTGTCCCCCCCAATCTCCTCTGTCCCCCCCAATCTCCTCTGTCCCCCCCAATCTCCTCTGTCCCCCCCAATCTCCTCTGTCCCCCCCAATCTCCTCTGTCCCCCCCAATCTCCTCTGTCCCCCCCAATCTCCTCTGTCCCCCCCAATCTCCTCTGTCCCCCCCAATCTCCTCTGTCCCCCCCAATCTCCTCTGTCCCCCCCAATCTCCTCTGTCCCCCCCAATCTCCTCTGTCCCCCCCAATCTCCTCTGTCCCCCCCAATCTCCTCTGTCCCCCCCAATCTCCTCTGTCCCCCCCAATCTCCTCTGTCCCCCCAATCTGCTCTGTGCCCCCAGCCCGGTGTCCCCAGGCCCCCCTGACCGGTGTCCCCCCCCCAGATCCAGAACAACTGGACTTTTGGGGAGGCCGTGGATGAGGAAGCCAAAACCCACCCGATGCTGAGACCCTACAAAACCTTTTCTGAGAAGGTACCGCGGGACCCCCGGGGCGCCCCCAGACCCGGGGGAACACCCCTAAACCTGGGGGGACACCCCCAGACCCAGAGGGACACCCCCAAACCCAGGGGACACCCCCAAACCTAAGGGGACACCCTCAGACCTAGGGGACATCCCCAGACCCAGAAGAACACCCCCAGACTCAGGGGACACCCCTAAACCCAGGGGACACCCCCAGACTCAGGAGGGCACCCCCAGACCCAGAGGGACACCCCCAAACCCAGGGGACACCCCCAGACCCCCCAAGACCAGGAGATCTCCCGGTGGCCACCAAGGCCACGCTGGGAGCCCCCAACCCCTTCCCTCCCTCTCCTCATGGACCCCTCCCCAAACCCTCTGGATTTTGGGGTTCCCCTGACCCCAGGTGATTTTGGGGTTCCCCCTGACCCAGGGGGTGGTTTTGGGGTCTCCAAGGCCTCTTTGGGGTTCAGAGGGGGTGGTTTTGGGGTCTCCAATCCCATTTTGGGGCTCAGGGGGTGGTTTTGGGGTCTCCAATCCCATTTTGGGGCGCAGGGGGTGGTTTTGGGGTCTCCAAGCCCGTTTTGGGGCACAGGGGGGTTCCAAGGAGCAGATTTGGGGTTCAGGGTTTCCAAGTCCACTTTGGGGCCCAGGGGTTGGTTTTGGGGTCTCCAAGCCGGTTTTGGGGCGCAGGGGGGGTCTCAAGGATCACATGTGGGGTCTCCAAGTCCACTTTGGGAAACCCCCCAAACTCCTGGGAGTTCCCCAAATCCCCTGGGAGCTCCCTCAGCCCTTGGCTGGACATCGCCCAGGAGTTCATCGCACACTTGGGTGAGACCCCAAATCCGGGGGGCACCCCCAAAGCCCGGGGGACACCCCAAAACCCTGGGGAACACCCCCAAACCCCGTGGGACCCCCCGGGACCCCCCTGACCCCCGTTTTCCCCCCAGAGGCCGTGGTCAGCAGCGGGCGGGTGGAGAAATCCCCCCACGAGCAGGAGATCAAGTTCTTCGCCAAGGTGGGGGGACCCCGAAAACGGGGAGGGGACACCCCAAAATCAGGGGCAGGACACCCCAAAAACGGGGATAAGACACCCCAAAAACGGGGATAAGACCCCCCAAAATCAGGGGCGTTATATCCCAAAAACAGGGAGGGGACACCCCAAAGTCAGGGGCAGGACACCCCAAAAATGGGGAGGAGACACCCCAAAAAGGGGGAGGGGACACCCCAAAAATGGGGACGGGACACCCCAAAAAGGGGGAGGTGACACCCCAAAATAGGGAGGGGACACTGAAAAACCCCTCAAAATGGGGGAGGGCAGGGGGACAGGGTGGTTTTGGGGTTTCTGTGGGGTTTTGGGGTCTCTGTGGATTTTTTTTTGGGGTCTCTTTGGGTTATTTGGTGTCTCTGTGGTGTATTTGGGGTTCTTAGAGGTTTTGGGAGGTATTTATGGGATATTTGGGGTTTCTGTGGGGTATTTGGGGTCTCTGTGGATTCTTTGGGGTTTCTCTGGGGTATTTGGGGTCTCTCTGTGGTACTTGGTGTCTCTGTGAATTCTTTGGGGTCTCTGTGGATTTTTTTGAGTTTCTCTGGGGTATTTGGGGTCTCTCTGTGGTACTTGGTGTCTCTGTGAATTCTTTGGGGTCTCTGTGGGTTATTTGAGGTCTCTATGGGTATTTGGAGCTCCCCCGTGTGTTTTTGGGGTCCCGCTGAGCCCCGGTGTCCCCCCAGATCCTGCTGCCCCTGATCAACCAGTACTTCCACAACCACTGCCTCTACTTCCTGTCCACGCCGGCCCAGGTGCTGGGCAGCGGCGGCCACGCCTCCAACAAGGAGAAGGAGATGATCACCAGGTGGGACCCCAAATCCCACCCAAAATCCACCCCAAAATACCCCCAAAATCCACCCCAAAATCCCCCCAAATCCCACCCCCAAAACTCACCCAAAATCCAGCCCAAAATACCCCCAAAATCCACACCAAAATACCCCCAAATCCCACCCCAAAATACCCCCCTAAATCCCACCCCAAAACCCACCCCAAAATGGAGCCTCCCCCGGGTGTTTTGGGGACCCCTTGACCCCCCCTTGTGTCCCCCCCAGCCTGTTCTGCAAACTGGCCGCGCTCGTCCGGCACCGCGTGTCCCTGTTCGGTAACTGGGGACACTGGGGACAAACTGGGGACACTGGGGGGGCACTGGGGAGCACTGGGGAGTCACTGCTGGGGGACACTGGGCACTGGGGACACTGGGACACTCTGGGGACACTGAGGGGGACGCTGGGGACACTGGGAGGGCACTGGGGACACTGTGGGGGGACATTGGGGATACTGGGGACACTGGGGGGGGCACTGGGGACGCTGGGACACACTGGGGACACTAGGGGTGACACTGGGGTGGACTGGGGGACACCAGGACACGCTGGGGACACTGGGGGTGACACTGGGCACACTGTGGGGGTGGCACTGGGGGACACTGGGACATGCTGGGGACACTGGGGGTGACACTGGGGTGGACTGGGGGACACCAGGACACGCTGGGGACACTGGGGGTGACACTGGGCACACTGTGGGGGTGACACTGGGGGACACTGGGACACGCTGGGGACACGCTGGGGCAGCGGTGGCACTGTCCCCCCCAGCTGATGTCCCTGTCCCCCCCAGGGACGGACGCCCCGGCCGTGGTGAACTGTCTGCTCATCCTGGCCCGGTCCCTGGACGCCAGGTGGGGACAGCGGTGACACCGCGGCCGTGTGTCCATCCGTGTGTGTGTCTGTGTGTGTGTCAATGTCCCGGATGTCCCCGTGTCCCCAATGTCCCCAATGTCCCCAGGACGGTGATGAAGTCGGGCCCCGAGATCGTCAAGGCTGGGCTGTGTCCCTGTGTCCATGTCCCTGTGTCCGTGTCCCTGTGTCCCTGTGTCCCTGTGCCAGTTCCCATGTCCCCAGTACCCCCAATGTCCTGGATGCCCCCAATGTCCCCACTGTCCCCAGTGTCCCCGATGTCCCCGATGTCCCCAGGACGGTGATGAAGTCGGGCCCCGAGATCGTCAAGGCCGGGCTGTGTCCCTGTGTCCATGTCCCTGTGTCCATGTCCCCAGTACCCCCAATGTCCCCCATGCCCCCGATGTCCCCAATGTCCCCGATGTCCCCGATGTCCCCAATGTCCCCAATGTCCCCAGGACAGTGATGAAGTCGGGCCCCGAGATCATCAAGGCTGGGCTGTGTCCCTGTGTCCATGTCCCTGTGTCCATGTCCCTGTGTCCCTGTGTCCCTGTGCCAGTCCATGTCCCCAGTACCCCCAATGTCCCCCATGTGGGGGCACTGGGACACACTGGGGGGACACTGGGGACACACTGGGGATACTGGGGGGACACTGGGGACACTGTGTCGGGGTCAGTGGGAGTACTGGGGACACTGGGGGGGCACTGGGGACGCTGGGACACACTGGGGACACTGGGGGTGACACTGGGGTGGACTGGGGGACACTGGGACACGCTGGGGACACACTGGGGACACTGGGGGTGACACTGGGGTGGACTGGGGGACACTGGGACATGCTGGGGACACTGGGGGTGACACTGGGGTGGACTGGGGGACACCAGGACACGCTGGGGACACTGGGGGTGACACTGGGGTGGACTGGGGGACACCAGGACACGCTGGGGACACTGGGGGTGACACTGGGCACACTGTGGGGGTGGCACTGGGGGACACTGGGACATGCTGGGGACACGCTGGGGCAGCGGTGGCACTGTCCCCCCCAGCTGATGTCCCTGTCCCCCCCAGGGACGGACGCCCCGGCCGTGGTGAACTGTCTGCTCATCCTGGCCCGGTCCCTGGACGCCAGGTGGGGACAGCGGTGACACCGCGGCCGTGTGTCCATCCGTGTGTGTGTCTGTGTGTGTGTCACTGTGTCCCCGTGTCCCTGCTGTCCCCGATGTCCCCAGGACGGTGATGAAGTCGGGCCCCGAGATCGTCAAGGCTGGGCTGTGTCCCTGTGTCCATGTCCCTATGTCCCTGTGTCCCTGTGCCGGTGCCCATGTCCCTGATACCCCTGCTGTCCCCCATGCCCCCGATGTCCCCAACAGGAGAGACAGGGACAGTGAGGACAGAGGTGGGGACAGCAGGGACAGGAGGAAAGTGGGACAGGGGGACAGTGGGGGGCATAGGGGGACAGGGGGGACAGCGAGGGTGACAGGGGGACACGTTGGGGTCTGGGGACATGGTGGGGACAGGGACGTTGGGGACACAGGGATGTGCTGGGGACATGTTGGGGTGTGGATGGGGAGGACACTGTGGGGACAGGGGGATAAGGGGACATTAAAGGGAGGTGGGGACAGGGGACGTGTTTGGAGGGTCAGGGACATGGGGACACAGCGGGAACACAGAGTGGGGGACAGTGGTGACACACTGGGGACAGCTGGGGACGGTGGTGACACCTCTGTCCCCGCAGTGGATGACGTGCAGGTCTCCTGTTACCGCATCCTGTGCAGCATCTACAGCCTGGGCACCGCCCGCGGGCCCCTCGTGGACAGGTGGGGACCCCAAAAACCCTGGGGGGACCCCAGGGGGGGGGTCTGGGGGTTCCCTGGGTTAGGGGTGCCATGGGGTGTCCCCCCGATGTCCCCAATGTCCCCAATGTCCCCGCAGGCAGCGGCCAGCCCTGGGCGAGTGCCTGGTCATGGCCATGGGGATCCTTGGGGTGCCATGGGGTGTCCATGGGGTGTCCATGGGGTGCCACGGGGGTCTGTGGGCTGCCATGGGGTGTCTATGGGGTGCCATGGGGTGTCCCCCCGATGTCCCCCCAATGTCCCCAATGTCCCCGCAGGCAGCGGCCGGCCCTGGGCGAGTGCCTGGCCCGCCTGGCCGCCGCCATGCCCGTGGCCTTCCTGGAGCCGCAGCTGAACCACCTGAACCCCTGCTCCGTATACAGCACCAAGAGCGCCCGCGAGCGCGCCCGTGAGTGCCACCTGTGTGTCACCTGTGTGTCACCTGTGTCACCCGTGTGTCACCTGTGTCACCTGTGTTCCCCTGTGTCCAACCCCTCTCCCTGTGTCCCCAGTGCTGGGTGTCCCATCATGGCTGGAGGAGCTGTGTTCCCTCCCCTTGGGGTGTCCCCAGCCCTGTCCCCGTGTCCCCAACCCTGTCCCCATGTCCCCAGTGCTGGGTCTGCCCTCGCGGGTGGAGGAGCTGTGTCCTGTCCCCTTGGGATGTCCCCAATCCTGTCCCCATGTCCCCAGCCGTGTCCCCATGTCCCCAGTGCTGGGTCTCCCCATGCGGGTGGAGGAGCTGTGTCCTGTCCCCCTGTCCCCAGCCATGTCCCCGTGTCCCCAGCCCTGTCCCCAGCCCTGTCCCCCTGTCCCCAGGCCTCTCCCCATGTCCCCAGCCCTGTCCCCTGGTGGCCCTGGGTGGGTCCTGCAGGTCATTCTGGTGGCCCTGGCTGGGTTTCAGTGGTCCCAGGGGTGTTTCAGTGGTCCCAGGGGGTGTTTCAGTGGTCCCAGGGCTGTCCTGGTGCTCACAGTGGCTGTCCCTGCCCGCAGTGTTTGCCCAGCCCATTGTGAGCAAGGCGCAGCCGGAGCTGCCCCAGGGTGGTCCCAGGGGTGTTTTGGTGGTCCCAGGGGTATTTTGGTGGTCCCAGGGTGGTCCCGGGGGGTGTTTCGGTGGTCCCAGGGTGGTCCCGGGGGGTGTTTCAGTGGTCCCAGGGCTGTCCTGGTGGTCACACCGTCCTTGTTTGCCGCAGTGTTTGCCCAGCCCATCGTGAGCACGGCGCGGCCGGAGCTGCCCCAGGGGTGTTTAGATGATCCCGGGGTGGTCCCAGGGGGTGTTTCAGTGGTCCCAGGAGTGTTTAGGTGGTCCCAGGGTGGTCCCGGGGGTGTTCTGGTGGGACAGTGCCACAGGGGCTGGGGACAGTGCCAGGGGGCTGGGGACTCTGCCAGGGATCAGCCATCCATGGTGGGGACAGTGCCATGGGGCTGGGGACAGTGCCAGGGGGACTGGGGACACAGCCATTGGAGGCAGGCTGGGGACACTGCCACAGGGCTGGGACAGTGCCACAGGGCTGGGGACAGTGCCAGGGGGACTGGGGACACAGCCATGGTGGCCTTGGGGACACAGCTATGGTGACCCCAACCATGGTGACCTTGGGGACCCAACTGTGGTGACCCCAACCATGGTGGCCTTGGGGACACAAGCCCAGTGGCCACAGGGACCAAACACTGGGGGACTCACTAATGGTGGCCATGGGGACCCAACGATGGTGGCCATGGGGGTGGTGACCCAGTGGTGACCCTCTGATGGCTTCCCCCCGGTGGTGACCCCCCGGTGACCTCCCTGTGACCCTTGGTGACCTCCCTGTGACCTCCCTGTGTCCCCGGTGTCCCCCAGGGCCAAGTGGCTGACGGAGCCCAACGAGGACGCGGAGGAGCTGTTCCGCATGGTGGGCGAGGTCTTCATCTACTGGTCCAAGTCTCACGTGAGTGGGGGTCCGGGGGGGGCACCCAGGGGTCCCAGGGCGCCTTTGGGGGGGTCCCTGAGCCCCTCTCTGTGTCCCCCCCCACCCCAGAACTTCAAGCGTGAGGAGCAGAACTTCGTGGTGCAGAACGAGATCAACAACATGTCCTTCCTGACGGCCGACAGCAAGAGCAAGATGGCCAAGGTGGGCTGGGGGACCCCAAAAGTGCCCTGCAGGGTTCTGTTCTGTGGGGTCACCACGCTTGGGAGCCCCAAAACTCCTGCAGGGTTCTGTTCTGTGGGGTCACCATGCTTGGGACCCCCCAGGACCCCTCTGTGGGGTGACCTTGGCTGAGACCCCACAACCTTGGCTGAGACCCCACTGTCCTTATGGGGTTACTCCTGTCACCCTGGTCATGGGGTCCCTGCTGACCCCATGTCCCCACGCTGTCCCTGCAGGGCGGTGGCTCGGAGCACGGGCTGACTCTCCTGTCCCCACTGACCCCGTGTCCCTGTCCCCTCGTTGGGACCCCCAAAACTCCTGCAGGGTTCTGTTCTGTGGGGTCACCAGGGTTGGGACCCCCAAAACTCCTGCAGGGTTCTGTTCTGTGGGGTCACCAGGGTTGGGACCCCCAAAACTCCTGCAGGGTTCTGTTCTGTGGGGTCACCAGGGTTGGGACCCCCAAAACTCCTGCAGGGTTCTGTTCTGTGGGGTCACCAGGGTTGGGACCCCCAAAACTCCTGCAGGGTCCTGTTCTGTGGGGTCACCACAGCTGGGACCCCCCAGGACCCCTCTGTGGGGTGACCTGACAGGGACCCTCCTGTCCTTATGGGGTTACTCCTGACACCGTGGTTACGGGGTCCCTGATGACCCCGTGTCCTGTCCCCACGCTGTCCCCGCAGGGCAGTGGCTCAGAGCAGGAGCTGACTCTCCTGTCCCCGCTGACCCCGTGTCCTGTCCCTGTCCCCACGGTGTCACCATGTTGTCCCTGTCCCCTCAGGGCGGTGGCTCGGAGCAGGAGCTGACACTGTGGCACCATGCTTGGGACTGACCCCGTGTCCTGTCCCTGTCCCCACGGTGTCCCCATGTTGTCCCTGTCCCCGCAGGGCGGTGGCTCGGAGCAGGAGCTGACCCCGTGTCCTGTCCCTGTCCCCACGGTGTCACCATGTTGTCCCTGTCCCCTCAGGGCGGTGGCTCGGAGCAGGAGCGCTCCAAGAAGCGGCGCCGCGGGGACCGGTACTCGGTGCACACCTCGCTCATCGTGGCCACGCTGAAGAAGATGCTGCCCATCGGCCTCAACATGTGCTCGCCCGCCGACCAGGAGCTGATCGCGCTGGCCAAGGGCCGCTACGCCCTGGTGGGTGCCCGGGGACAGCTGGGGACACCTGGGGACACTGGGGACACCTGGGACCCACAAACATCTCCTCGGTTTAGGGACAAAGCCCTGGGGTTGGGGACATGGCGCTGGCCATGGGGGACACCTGGGGACACCTGGAGACACTGGGGACAGCTGGGGACACCTGGGGACACCGGGGATACCTGGGGACACCGGGGATACCTGGGGACACCTGGGACCCACAGATGTCCTCCGGGTTTGGGGACAAAGCCCTGGGGCTGCGCCGCTACGTGCTGGTGCGTGCCCCGGGGACACCTGGGGACACCTGGGGACACCGGGGGACACCTGGGGACACCTGGGACCCCCCAGAAACCCCCCTGGAACCCACAGATGTCCCCTGGGTTTAGGGACAAAGCCCTGGGGGTGGGGACATGGCGCTGGCCAAGGGTGGGCACTGTGCCCTGGTGGGTGGCCAGGGTCACCTACAGCCGGGGACACCGGGGACACCTGGGACCCTGGGTTGTCCCACCAGGGACACCCAGATGTCCCCTGGGTTTAGGGACAAAGCCCTGGGGGTGGGGACATGGCGCTGGCCAAGGGTGGGCACTGTGCCCTGGTGGGTGGCCGGGGACACCTTGGGGACAAGCCCAGGGTTTGGGGACACCCCTCCAAGGGTTTGGGGACACCCCCAAGGGTTTGGGGACCCTTGCTGAGGTGTCCCCTGTGTCCCCCCTGCAGAAGGACACGGACGAGGAGGTTCGGGAGTTCCTGCACAACAACCTGCACCTGCAGGACAAGGTGAGCTGGCATGTGTGTCACCGTGTCACCGTGTCCCCGGTGTGTCACCGTGTCCTCAGTGTGTCTCCATGTCCCCAGTGTGTCACCATGTCCCCAATGTCACTGTGTCCTGAGTGTTACTGTGTCCCCACTACATGTCACCATGTCCCCCATTTGTCACCATGTCTCTAGTGTCACTGTGTCCCCAGTGTCACTGTGTCCCTGGTGTGTCACCATGAATCCAGTGTCACCGTGTCCTTGGTGTCACTGTGTCCCTAGTGTGTCACCATGTCCTCAGTGTGTCACCATGTCTCCAATGTCACTGTGTTACATGTGTCCCCAATGTCCCCAATGTCCCCGATGTCCCCAGGTGGAGAACACGGGCTCGGCGCGGTGGCAGATGGCCCTGCTGCTGATGTCCCCAATGTCCCCGATGTCCCCAATTTCCCCAATGTCCCCGGTGTCCCCAGTGTCACTGTGTCCTGAGTGTTACCGTGTCCCCAGTGTGTCACCATGTCCCCAGTGTCACAGTGTCCCCAGTGTCACCATGTGTCCAGTGTCATTGTGTCCTTAATGTCACTATGTCCCCAGTGTCACTGTGTCCCTGGTGTGTTACGGTGTTCCCAGTGTGTCACCATGTCTCCAGTGTCACCATGTCCCCACCCCATGTCACCGTGTCCCCAGTGTGTGACTGTGTCCCCAGTGTGTCACCATGTTTCCAGTGTCACTGTGTCCCCAGTGTCACCGTGTCCCCAGTGTGTTACTGTGTCCCCAGTGTGTCACCATGTTTCCAGTGTCACTGTGTCCTTGGGGTCACTGTGCCCCAGTGTTACATGTGTCCCCAGTGTCCCCAATGTCCCCAGATGGAGAACACGGGCTCGGCGTTGTGGCAGATGGCCCTGGTGCTGATGTCCCCAATGTCCCCGATTTCCCCAATGTCCCCGATGTCCCCGGTGTCCCCAGGTGGAGAACACGGGCTCGGCGCGGTGGCAGATGGCCCTGGTGCTGATGTCCCCAATGTCCCCAGTGTCCCCAATGTCCCCGATGTCCCCAGGTGGAGAACACGGGCTCGGCGCGGTGGCAGATGGCCCTGGTGCTGATGTCCCCAATGTCCCCGATTTCCCCAATGTCCCCGATGTCCCCGGTGTCCCCAGGTGGAGAACACGGGCTCGGCGCGGTGGCAGATGGCCCTGGTGCGCCAGGCCGGGCGGGACGAGGACCCCGACAGCCCCGAGCAGGTCGTGCGCAGGGTGCAGGAGGTGTCGGCCGTGCTCTACCACCTCGAGCAGGTCTGGGGGCAAGGGGGGCTCGGGGGGATTTGGGGACACACAGGGGACCCCAGGTGACCCCCCACAGACAGAGCACCCCTGCATGTCCAAGAAGGCCGTGTGGCACAAGCTCTGGGTGCTCTGTGCCCTTTGTGTGCCCTGGGGGTACTTTGGGGGGTCCCAGGGGGTTCAGGGGTGTTCAGGGGGTCTCAGGGGCTTTGGGGGTGCCCAGGGGGTTTGGGGGTGACCCCGGGTGCCCCCCCGCAGACGGAGCACCCCTACAAGCCCAAGGTGGCCGTGTGGCACAAGCTGTGGGTGCTCTGTGCCCTTTGGGGTGGTCCCAGTGGGTTCTGGGATGCTCAGGGGGTTTGGGGGTGCCCAGGAGGTTTGGGGGCGAACCCCTCAGGAGGATACTGGGAGGGTTCAGGAGGGTTCAGAACCTTCTGGAACCTCTCAGAACGTTCTGGAACCCCGCAGGGAGGAGCTGCCCAGGTCGGCGTGGCGGCTCCGGCTGCTGGGGCTGAACCTGCTGGGGGGAACTGGGGGGCACTGGGAGGAAACTGGGAGGGCACTGGGGGCACTGGGAGTTGGGATGGGTACCCTGAGACACTCTCAGGGCAGCTGGGGATGTCCTTGGAGGTGTCTCAGCGACCCTGGGTGACCCCCCGCAGATGGAGCACCCCTACAAGCCCAAGAAGGCCGTGTGGCACAAGCTTTGGGTGCCCTGTGTCTTTTGGGGGGTCTCAGGGTGTCCCAGGGGTGCCCAGGGGGTTCTGGGGTGTCCAGGGGGTTTGGGGGTGACCCCGGGTGACCCCAGGTGACCCCCCCACAGACGGAGCACCCCTACAAGCCCTAGGTGGCTGTGTGGCACAAGCTTTGGGTGCTCTGTGCCCTTTGGGTGCCCTGGGAGATCCCAGGGGGTTCAGGGGTGCCCAGGGGGTCCCAGGGGGTTTGGGGGCGCCCAGGGAGTTTGGGGGTGACCCCGGGTGCCCCCCTGTCCTTGGAGGTGTCTCAGCCCTGCTGGGTGACACCTGGCACCCCCTGGGTGACACCTGGGACGCCCTGGGCAACACCTGGGACACCCTGGGTGACACCTGGCACCTCCTGGGTGACACCTGGGAACCCCTGGATGACACCCGGGACACCCTGGGTGTCACCTAGCACTCCCTGGATGACAATTGGCACTCCCTGGGTGACACTTGGGACACCCTGGGTGACACCTGGGACACCCCGGGTGGCACCTGGGAGCCGCGGGGATGGCTGGGCCCGCAGGTGGTGCCAGGTGGCCCAGTGGCCCGGTGGCCCAGTGGATCAGGTGGGCACAGGTGGCTCAGTGGCTCAGTGGCTCGGTGGCTCAGTGGCCCAGTGGCTGAGGTGGTGCCAGGTGGCCCAGTGGCTCAGGTGGCCCAGTGGCCCGGTGGCTCAGTGGCTTGACCCCGGGTGCCCCCCTGCAGACGGAGCACCCCTACAAGTCCAAGGTGGCCGTGTGGCACAAGCTTTGGGTGCTCTGTGCCCTTTGGATGCCCTGGGTGATCCCAGGGAGTTTGGGGGTGCTCAGGGGGTCCCAGGGGGTTCCGCATGACGCCCCTGTACAACCTGCCCAGGTGGGCACGGGGCACTGGGGGGCACTGGGAGGGACTGGGAGCACTGGGAGGGAACTGGGGGGCACTGGGAGGGAACTGGGAGGGAACTGGGGGGAACTGGAGGGCATTGGAAGGGAACTGGGAGCACTGGGAGGGAACTGGGGGGCACTGGGAGGGCACTGGGAGGGAACTGAGAGGGCACTGGGGGCACTGGGAGGGTACTGGGAGGGCACTCGGAGGGCACTGGGGGGCACTGGGAGTTGGGGTGGGCACGCTGTGACACCCTCAGAGCAGCTGGGAATGTTCTTGGAGGCGTCTCAGCCCTGCTGGGTGACAGCTGGGTGACACTTGGGACCTGCTGGGTGACACCTGGCACCCCCTGGGTGTCACTCGGGAGCCCCCGGGTGACACCTGGCACCCTCCAGGTGGTACCTAGGACTCCTGGGTGACACCAGTTTGGGGGTGCTCAGGGGGTCCCAGGGGGTTTGGGGGTGCCCGGGGGGTTTGGGGGTGACCCCGGGTGCCCCCCCGCAGACGGAGCACCCCTACAAGTCCAAGAAGGCCGTGTGGCACAAGCTCCTGTCCAAGCAGCGGCGCCGCGCCGTCGTCGCCTGCTTCCGCATGACGCCCCTGTACAACCTGCCCAGGTGGGCACGGGGCACTGGGGGGCACTGGGAGGGACTGGGAGCACTGGGAGGGAACTGGGGGGCACTGGGAGGGAACTGGGAGGGAACTGGGGGGAACTGGAGGGCATTGGAAGGGAACTGGGAGCACTGGGAGGGAACTGGGGGGCACTGGGAGGGCACTGGGAGGGAACTGAGAGGGCACTGGGGGCACTGGGAGGGTACTGGGAGGGCACTCGGAGGGCACTGGGGGGCACTGGGAGTTGGGGTGGGCACGCTGTGACACCCTCAGAGCAGCTGGGAATGTTCTTGGAGGCGTCTCAGCCCTGCTGGGTGACAGCTGGGTGACACTTGGGACCTGCTGGGTGACACCTGGCACCCCCTGGGTGTCACTCGGGAGCCCCCGGGTGACACCTGGCACCCTCCAGGTGGTACCTAGGACTCCTGGGTGACACCTAGCACTCCCTGGGTGACACCTGGGAGTTGTGGGTGGCACCTGGGAGCCCTGGTTGACACCTGGGATCCCCTGGTTGACACCTGGGATCCCCTGGGTGACACCTGGCACCCCCTGGGTGACACCTGGCACCTCCTGGGTGACACCTGGGAACCCTAGTTGACACCTGAGACTCCCCGGGTGACATCTAGGAGCCCCCGGGTGACACCTGGCATCCCCTGGGTGACACTTGGGACCCCCTGGGTGACACCTGGCACCCCCTGGGTGACACCTGGGAGCTGCGGGGAAGGCTGGGCCTGCAGGTGGTGCCAGGTGGTGCCAGGTGGCCCAGTGGCCCAGTGGCTCAGTGGCCCAGTGGCCCAGTGGCCCGGTGGCCCGGTGGCTCAGTGGCTCAGGTGGCTCAGGTGGGCACAGGTGGCTCAGTGGCATTCCCGGGGGGTTTGGGGACATCCCTGGGGTTTTGGGGCCATCCACTGGGGGTTTGGGGACACCCCGAGCCCCCCTGAGGCGGGTTTGGGGACACCCCTGGCGGTTTGGGGACACCCCTGGGGGTTTTGGGGACACCCCTGGGTTTTGGGGACACCCCGAGCCCCCCTGAGGCGGGTTTGGGGACACCCCTGGCGGTTTGGGGACACCCCTGGGGGTTTTGGGGACACCCCTGGGTTTTGGGGACACCCCGAGCCCCCCTGACCCAGGGTTTGGGGCTCCGGGCGCAGAAGTCGGGGCGCGAGGAGGAGGAGGAGGAGGAAGAGGCGGAGGCACGGCCGGACCCGCTGCACCAGCTGATCCTGCACTTCAGCCGCACCGCGCTCACTGAGCAGAGGTGACCCCAGACCCGAGGGGACCCCGAACCCCGAGGGGACCCCAAATCACCCTGAGGGGAACCCGAATTCCAAGGGGACCCCGAATTCCTGAGAGCATCTCAAATTCCTGAGGGCACCCCAAATCCCTGAGGGGATGCTAAATCCCCTGAGGGGACCCCGAACCCCGAGGGGACCCCAAATCACACCGGAGCTGGGATCCTAAAACCCCAAACCCCTGAGGGGACCCCAAAACACACTGGGGACCCCAAAACCCTGAGGGGACCCCGAATCACACTGGGGACCCCAAAACCCTGAGGGGACCCCAAAACCCTGAGAGGACCTCAAACCCCGAGGGGACCGCAAATCCTGAGGGGACCCCGAACCCTGAGGGGACCCCAAATCCCTGAGGGGACCCCAAATCTCACTGGAACTGGGATCCAGAAACCCCAAATCCCACTGGGGGGGAGCCCAAACCCACTGGAAAACCCCAAAACCCCACAGAGGAGACCCCAAATCCCACCGTGGGCACCCCAAAACCCGGGTCAGCCCCTCGGGGCCACCTGGGTCCCCTTTTGGGGTCCGGGGTGTCCCCCCCGTCCCCAACCCGTGTCCCCCTCTGTCACCCCGCAGCCACCTGGAGCAGGATCACCTGTACATGGCCTACGCCGGCATCATGGCCAAGGTGGGCACCCCAAAACCGAGGGGACCCCAAAACCGAGGGGACCCCAAAACCGCCCCAAAGTTTGGGGGGGGTCCCCAGGGGGCTGAGGGAGTTTGGGGTTCCCAAAGATTGGGGGGTTCCCAGGGGTTTTGGGGGGTCCCCGGGGATTTTGGGGTTGTTCAGGGATGGGGGGATGGGTTCGGTGCTCCCCAGGGGTTTTGGGGCCCCCCGGGCGGTTTTTGGGGGTTCCTAATTCGAGGACCCCTCCCCAATTCCCCCAGAGCTGCCACATAGAGGAGGGGGAGGAGGAGGAGAAGGAGGAAGAGGAGAAGGAAGAGGAAGAAGCCGAGGATTCGTTTGAGGTGGGGAGGGGACCCCGAAACCCCCCGACCCCCGTCCCCCCCCCTTTACCCCCTGGATTCCC